ATGCTTCCTGCAGATATCACCTTAGTGTTTCCTCCATATTCCCTCTTTTTTGTTTTCAGTGTTTGAACACCAGACTGCAAAATCTCTGTATTAAGTTTAATCACTTCATCTACATGGAGTGGTGTCTTTTGTCTTGCATGGACCCTGTCTGATACATACTGCCTCTTAACACATGTGAAAACATACTGGAGGAGTACCCAATAGTTGGAAGAAAATTATCAAAGAAAATTTCTTGGAGGAGCTGGTGTCTGAGCTGAATCTTCAGCGTGGAAATGTTTATAGAATGTTTTACCAAGTTCCTAGCATAAATAAAAATATTCAAGATGAATATTTTTTCTCCTGTTTGCCCATATTGCCACTGTGACTCTTTTTGATTATTACTAAACTACTATTATAAGGAATAATCAGGGATTAGAGAGCTAAAAGGGTTCTGGAAATGGGGGGTGTGGTCATTCCTGGGCATGAGATGAGGACACAGAAGGGCACCTAGAACATGTAGACGCACAGGGAGCATGACATAGGGAAGGGTACGTCGTTCATAAATGGGCTTCCAGATGGAAGAGGAAAAGTTGAAGGGAGTTAGGGTACAACAGAGTGTGTGAACTATGAGACTAGGTTTGCATACGGTTCTGAGAAGGACAGGGAGCTAGTACACCGATGGCTGACATTCCGTACAGAGCAGTCTCTCTGATGGAAGTCCAGTTACATTTCCAAAGGAGACACATGGGGGTTGAGGTTGACCAGGAATGAGTCTATGCACATTTCCGATGAAGGTTAATGCCGTTGGACATGAATCGGTGAGAGTGGGTATGGGGAGAACAGAAGAGAATTGGAAGTCAGGAAGTAGAATTGGCAGTGTCGGTGACTGATTTGTTGTAAAAGGAGAAAAATAAGAAGAAATTAACTTGTGAAGCAAGCTTTCTGGCAATGACAAGAGTGTGCATGGAAGTGCCAGCCATCAGCACAATGCTTCTAGAAAGAGGAAGAGAGCTGGACTAAGATTCTTAGTTCAGTTTAAAACCTGACATGTGTTTTGGTCCATGTGGGCTGCAAAGTACCATAGGCTTGGTGGCTTGTAAACAGCAGAAATGTACTGCCACAGTTCCGGAGGCTGGAAGTCTGAGACCAGGGTGCCAGCACGGTCAGGTGAAGGCCCTTGCAGACGTGTCCTTGAATCCTCATGTGGGGGAAGGGGTCAGGGATCTCTCTGTAGCCTCTTATACAGGCACTAACCCCATTCCTGAGGGCCCAGCCCATGACCTTAAGTACCTCCCAGAGACCTTCTAATAGCATCACACTGGGCAATAAGATTTCAACACATGAATTGTGAGGACACAAGCATTCAGACGCTAGCTGTGTGTTTTAGCTATCTATATGAAGTAAGCTCCGTAGATGTAGCAAACTTGTCTGTCGTGTTCATGGTTTACATTCCTGACAGCTACTATAACATCAGGCAGAGAACAATCACACCAACACTGTTCATGGAAGGAATGATGTTTGATTGTGAAGGAAAGAATGTATTATGAATTTTTAGCACATAAATAATAGATGTTCCCAGAGAAGAATCTAGAAAAAAAAATAAGTAGGTTTGATAAAATAGGAAAAAAAAAAAACTAATCACTAACTTTAAAAAAAAACCCACAAAAAACCCTAAGTTTTGTATTGCCAAGAAAATAGTTTGTATTGCAAAGCCATTTGCAAAAATATGTTATTTTATCTCCAAAGCTCCACAACATCATGTTTTGTACATGGATTCATTCATCTAGTCAAAAAGTGAGTGTCTGCTCTGTACCAGGCCCTGCTCTAAACTCTGTGAATCCCATAACAAAGAGAACAAAGTCACTGCCCTCATGGTGCTTATATTCTCATGGGTTGAGATGCACATATAGGTAGTAAATTATGTCGTGTGTCATAAGTAATCAGTCCTGTGGAAAAATAATCAAGAAGGGTAAGGATGTAGGGAGTATCAGAAGCAGGACAAGGCTGGCTATTTCGTTTAGAGCAGTGAGGCTGCTGATAAGGTGTTCATTTAGTGGATGCCCCAAGAAGGGCAGTAGCAAGTCAGGTCGTCATGGGGATGAGAAGGCTGATTGGTTCAGGCGAAGGGGTGAGCAAATTCTCAAGTAAGGTTGTGCCTTTCAGGTAAGAGAAACAGCCCTGGCAGGGCTTGAAGCCACAGCGGTGGCCCGGCGAGCAGCTTCTGTAACGTTACAGCCGCCCTACTCAGAGCTGGTGGCCGAGACAAAGCCCCAGCTAACATTTAACTTGTATACAGTGACCTGTAAGCATGGGAAAGGATGCTTAACCAAGTTTGAAAGCAAACAAAAATTAGAGTAATTTGGATTTTGGCCTGATAAATGAACAAAATAGATGATGCATCATGCTGTTGAAAATATAGGAAAATGGGCCATATTACATTTAGCTCAAGGGGAGTGCACATTTGGACAATTTTTTTAGCACTACCCTACTTAGAATATTTAAATTTTAATGCTTTGGACCCTGTCATTTTAGTCCTGAGAGTATTCCAGTAATATTATCAGAGAGAAACTTCAAGATGTATTTATGAGGAAATTTATTTATTATAAAACTGAGTAAGATAATAACAAATTTAGAAATTCCCTAACATAGTAAAATGCATTCTGATACCTCTGTTAAATAGAATATTAGACAGCCATCAGATATGGAAGCCATCTCTGGCACAGACCATCGAAGAGCCCAAGTACCTGTTTTATCCCCCGCTTCCTGACAGAAACTCCATGGTTTTAGCTAGGCCTTTGGCCACGTAGAACAAACACTTCACTTCACCATTTCTGTGCCGCCCTGAGTTACTCTGTGGGGACTTAGTGGTGATTCTTGGCTTCCAGGAAGAGAAGGATCCCCGAAAGGGAGGGGCCTGTATCTTCTGTGTCTTCCCCTTTTTTGCTGGCTGGAGGGCTGCATTCGCGGTATACCAGTAAGAGCTGCAGCTCCAACAGCGTCTCTGACCAAGACGTGATCTCTGAGATACAAGGTGCTCAGTGACGAGGACAGAGGGACAGCCTGAGGACACCTTGGAGATCCCCCCGCCCCCCAGTCAGCCCTGGATGGCTTTCCCCAGCCCTCAGAGGCTCACACTGTTTGACTTACTCATCAGAATCCTCGGTGGTTATTTTGGAAAAAGAAAAGTGCACGTCACAGAGTATCTTACATGGTTATGTTTCTAAATACATCTGTGAGTTTGTATATGTGGGGAGAGAGAGAGAGAGACAGCAGGATGGAGGAAAGGGAACATAAATCATTTCATGGAACACATGATTTTTCACTTCCCTCTTTATAACTTTCCATTCTAAAGGGATATTTTTACATAATTGTATTGTTCTCAGGATTAAAACAAAGTAAAGCTTTTTTTTTTAGTGCTTATATAAATTGGCCTTCATTTGCAGTTTGAATGTTAAAATAATGAATATACAGATGCAGATATATATTGGTAATTTTTTAAAAAAAATCAACATTCTGATAATTTTTTTCATTGTTAAAAATACAATTTTATTTTTTAAAAATTTTTTATTATGTTCAGTTAGCCACCAAATAGTACATCATTAGTTTTTGATGTAGTGTTCAATGATTCATTAGTTGCATATCACACCCAGTGCTCATCACAACATGTGCTCTCTTTAATGCCCATCACCCTGTTACCCAATCCCCCTCCCTTCAGAAACCCTCAGTTTATTTCCCAGAGTCCAGAGTCTCTCGTGGTTTGTCTCCCTCTCTGATTTCTCCCCCTTCAGTTTTCCCTCCCTTCCCCTACGGTCCTCTGTGCTATTCCTTATATTGCACATATGAGTGAAACCATATGATAATTGTCTTTCTCTGCTTGACTTACTTCACTCATCATAATCCCCTCCAGTCCCATCCATGTCGATGCAAATGGTGGGTATTCATCCTTTCTGGTGGCTGAGTAATATCCCATTGTATATATGGACCACCTCTTCTTTATCCATTCATCTGTCAACGGACATCTCAGCTCTTTCCATCATTTGGCTATTGCGGACATTGCTGCTATGAATATTGGGGTGCACATGCCCCATCTTTTCACTACATCTGTGTCTTTGGGATAAATACCCAGTAGCACAATTGCTGGGTCGTAGGGTAGCTCTATTTTTAATGTCTTGAGGAGCCTCCACACTGTTTTCCAAAGTGGCTGCACCACCTTGCATTCCCACCAACAGTGTAAGAGGGTTCCCATTTCTCCGCATCCTTGCCAACATTTGTTGTTTCCTGTTTTGTTAATTTTTGCCATTCTAACTGGTGTAAGGTGGTATCTCATTACATTCTGATAATTTTAAAAAATTACTACTTAGGAATAAATTCACACTGGCCTTTATATGTTTTTAGGGGGACACCTGGGTGGCTCAGTCGTTAAGCATCTGCCTTCAGCTCAGGTCATGATCCCAGGGTCCTGGGATTGAGCCTCACATTGGGCTCCCTGCTCAGCGGGGAGCCTGCTTCTCCTCTCCCTCTGCTGCTCCCCCTGCTTGTGCTCGTGTGGGTGCACTCTCTCTCTCTCTGACAAATAAATAAAATCTTAAATATATATATATATATATATATATATATGTTTTTAGGTGAACTTATAAATGAACTCGGAGATAAAAGATTTTTGACATTCTAGGGTTCACAAAAAATACTGCTTGTAGTTCATTACAAAATATTATTAAAAATATCCTATGGCCAAGTTAGAAATAAATCAAAATAAATTAGAACCCAGTCTATAAATATAAATGTGGGAGTTCCAAGTCAAATATTAGTAACATTATCTCAAATGGAGAATGAAAGACCCTCTATGACAAAGATTTCATCCCAACAATATAATCATTGCTTAATATCAGGACGCCTATTAATGTAATCATATTATTTATGCATTAACTATTTTTTTATGTTTTCCTATACTTAAACTTTGTTTTGCAGTGAAAATGATTTACTTATATGATAAAATGAGAAAACAAACATTATTTTTTTTTAAATTTATTAAGTACTAACTCAGCAACAGTATGACCGTGGTTTTAGCTTGGCGTTGGCTGAGGGTGGGCAAGTGGGAAGTTCAGTAGAAAAACATTCACAATCAAATGTTAACCTTTTAAAATAGTAGATTCACAGAGAATGGAATGGCTCAATTTTCCTGGAAAAATTAGAAGAAAACATAAGTAAAGGTGTTATTGGAGGTAATATAGAAATAGAACTAATCTCTACTATGAGGTGTGCCTTCACAGAAGGGTTATGGGCCGATCATCCCCAAAGGGGAGGATCTGCACGGGGGCCTCACCATCTCAGCACAGACCCAACAGCCATCACTTGACCCTGTGGTCCAGGTGGGCCTCATCACATACAGAGAAGGAATGAGACTTGGCCCAGCTGACTTCTTGGGGAGGAAGCCACATATCAGCTGTCTATGCAAGGCCAATTGTTTTATGCATGCATCGGAACAAAGTATTCTCTACTCACTAGGTAGGTCATTGAGAGACATGAAGACTGAAGAATTTTCTAGCTGGCTACTATTAGACTTACAATTTCTGATAATTTCAAATGAAAGCAGGGTTTTACTGAGGGCCATTAAGAAAATGCAGAGGAGACTGACTAGTGGGCAGTTACTCTCCGTTCCCACTCTCCACTCTAGGTTATATGTACAGACTCTGAGAAGGGAGCACCCAATTCCGTTTCTTGGAGACATTTACCTGAGATGCTTCATATGGATTTTAATTCCCAGGAAAGAGGTAGAAATATCGTGTCATGGATAATCTCTCAATTGTGGGCATCTGGATCATTGTATGTGGCTTCTCAAATGCATTTTGAACCTAAGGTAGTAAAGAAAATCTTCAGAGATTTCCTAAGAGGGAAATCTGGACTTCTCTATTAGGAGTATAGTGCATCTCTATTGGCTATAGTGCATACATGAACAAAATAGTATCATCAAAAGCATTTTCTGAATAAACAAGGCTATCAGAGTCAGAGAAACTCACTCTGGTTCCATGCGGTACTTCAAAAAAACCTCCTCTTTAAGCAAACCTGGGGTACAGGAAGGGGTGTCATGACGGCTTAAGATCTTTCAGGATTCCCAAAAAAAGGGTTTGAAAATGGTTGCACAGCTTTCTGGGGCATAACAGTGAAAAGACAAGAAGAACCCTACCTTTCGGAAAATCTCCTCCAAATGGTGACAACAAGAATACTCTCCTAAGTAGTAGATAAGCTGGGAAATGAAGACAGAGCCCTCTGTGTTCAATCTCCAAGAAACATTATCTGCAAATAAAAGACATTGAAATACTGGGAGTTGTGGCCTTCGTATAAGTGTGGAGGACTCTTGGATCCATAGCTTTTGGACACGGTTTGATTTTGATGCTTTGGAGAGAGAGAGATAAATCTGGATAAAGCTGGGGTGTCAGGTTTCCACAGCAGGCACAGAGAAAACCGTCGCGGGCCCTCAGTCGAAAACGCCCTGCGTGTGTTCCTAGGCAGAGCCAAAGTTATCCCCCGACTGCTGCAGGAAGTGGAAAAGAACACAATTCCTTTCAGCACTTACTATATAATCAAAAAAAGAATCTAGATCTTGCCATTCCTTGAGTCTGGACCTCTTCATCCGCACTGTTTGCTACTGTAATATTGTACCCGTACTTTTTTATCACGAACGTTGTTTGAGCCTCTGCTTCTCCTCACTGTTGCAGTGTGATCAAAAAGCCAATCGTCCCCTGTTCGTCCCTTTTTCTGCAGCTGCCTCCCTGCTTCTTCTTCCTTTTTGTAGTTACATTTCTTGGGCTTGTCTCACTCCCCATGTTCACACGCTCCTAGCCCGCTCACCCCGGGTTCCTGTCTGCCTCCCCCTCTCACTTCATGCAGAGCTCCCCCACGGCCAGCCATGACCTCCGAGTCATTAAACCTCACGGTCCCTTACTGAGCCTCACCTGTGCCTGATCCCTCATTCAAATCAGAAACTGGCCGTAACTCCCAGATTCTTTCTGGGTAACTCTGACAACACATGCTCGTCTTACTTTGCTTTCCTATACTCCAGCCATACTCTCGGAGTCCACTCTGTGGACTGGGACTTCCGTCTCTCCCAGTTCAAGCCTCTGCTTTGGGATGTCTTCTCAATCTGCTCTCTGTTTGTGGATCATTTTGCCCATTGTTAGAACATTAAAGATAATCCCTAGGCAAGCATTTCCCCAAATCCTGATGCCAATCTCTTTTCTGAAATATACAGCCTTGTAACTCTCTTCTTTTCCTCCTGAAGTATGCTGAAGGCATCTCACACTTTCTTGCAGGATTCCCATTTTAATGAAGGCACCACAATCATCCCTGGTGACCTCGAGTCCTCTGTGTCACCCCTCCTCATTCACCTGCCATATCCGCTAAACACCAGGTCATAAAAATTTTACATACTAATTATTTCTGGATTCAACAGCTATGTCTTCCCAAGACTGGCATTATCACCTGTGGCCCATGATACAGCAGGCACATTTTAACCTTCCTCCCCATATCGCCTCTTGCTGTACCATAACCCATTCCCCAGAGAACCCCCAGAGTGGTCATCTAAAAATGTCAGTCTTATCATTGCCTGGTGTACCTTTCACCAAAATTTCCCATTACTATTACTGTAAAGTAATATTAGTAATAAAGCATGTCAACATAAAAGATCAAATCCTTCCCTAACATATGAGGCCTCAAATTATACAGCCCCTGCCTACCCCTCCATCCTCTCTCTTGGTACTGGCCCCTGGCTCCATGCTCCAGACACACTGGCCCTGTTTTCCAAGCTCCTCTCTTTCCCAGGTTCTCTGTGTACACTGCTTTTTCCATCTGGAATGTCCTTCTCTTACTATTGACATAGTTAACTCCTTCATTTTTCAACATGTTTTTCCTGAAAGCACATAACAGGGTCGACAGTTATTAGGTACTTGTGTGAGGTGGTGCCTGTATTTTCCTCTCAGTCCATATCTGCCCCTCTGCTTGTCACTCCATAAGGCTCAGCAAGCACGTCTGCTTCAGCTGTGCATCATATGCCCTGAAACAGCTGTCTCCGTTCATCGTTACATGTACAGAAAGGAATGGAGGAATTACACATACTAGACTTCATGCCCTTAACTTAAACAGTCTCTTAGAGCATACATCAGGCTGGATATGCCTTTTTAACTTCCTTTAGTAGCTAAAAGTAGAGAGCTCTTCTTTCCAATAAAACTTTATTCAAACTCCAACATGTAAGACAAAGTAGAGCTGTTCCAGGTATGGAATGGGTGTTTCCCACATGGCCTGTTTCCTGTTTCCCCAGACTAGACTCAGAGCATCCTCCTGGGCCAGCAGAATCTCAGGCCCTCCCCTGGACCTATGAATTGGAACTCTACATGTAATGACATTCTGTGCACATCCAGGTTTGTAATCACTACACCAGAGCGCTTAGAGCTGTGACTTGTATGGGGTGCCTGGGTGGCTCAGTTGGTTGGGCCTCTGCCTTCTGCTCAGGTCATGATCCCAGGGTCCTGGAATCAAGCCCCGCGTTGGGCTCCCTGCTCCGTGGGGAGGCTGCTCCCCCTGCTTGTGCTCACTCTCTCTCTCTCTCAAATAAAATTCTTAAAAAGAACTGTGACTTATGTAAACTAGATTCTGGAAATTGCCTGGGTTCTGTAAATCACTCATAAAACAATACCATAGATGACCATTAAATAGATTTCCCACAGGTTTGACCGTGATCAATTTGGCGTATCTTCTGTTTCTATCTTTTACTATTTCTTTCCTGCCAAAGAAGGATTTTCAGTCGTTGTCTCCATTATACTGAAGTCAGGTATTTGAATGTTAACTAAATTTTTAAGACTAGACTCAAATAACCAGGCAAGAGGTTCTAGAATGTGTGAAGCAAGTATTACAGTGTTACTTGATTGCCTTGTTTAACTGCTAGTAGATGATCAGGTGGTTTAGTCCCATAGACCAAACCATGGGACTAAAATACACTTCTGTGCCATTGCTATATTAAGTAAACAAGCAAACAAACAAACAAAAACAATTCTTCATTTATTTATAGTTACACTATTTTAAGTTCGGATCCTCACGAAAGTCCAGTTTACTTTGAAAGTTTCCTCCGAAATCAAGACTTCCAGCTTTCTAGTTATAAAAATAATCTCAATATTTTAAACCTCTTCTCTATAAAGCCTATCATTAGAGAAGAAATGTTCTTCTATTAGTGATCAGGTAGGATCATAGCCAAGCCTGTGATCTGGAAACTGATAGGAGATTGAGAGACTGCTCTCTAAAGTCACTTACGTGGAGTCGAAGATTTGAAAGCGATGAAGTCCTTCTCCACATGGGTCTTTTCTATGGCATCACTGGAGATATAACGCTGCAAGGGCTGGTAATATGTCCACGCAAATGCTTCTCCCACATCGGTCACCCAGACAGTCCCGTCACCTCCTGGAAGAGACACCCTTGTCTTATGAAAGAAGTTACACACACAGACACACACACAAAATCTCTTCTACCATTCTACCCTTACTTCAGTACATTCCAATGTGGAATTTATTAAAAATGCAAGTATGTTACTACTAGAAAAACCAACTCCCTGACTGGGAACCATACAGAGCCCACTTACGTTTAGAATGACCTTGTCCCTAAGGATCGGGACATTCGTTACTATTCTGGCGTGCTTCACACTTCTTAAAAAATGATACAGACTAATTTCTCTCTTCTTTTAAGATTATTTATTCATTTATTTGAGAGAGAGAGCAAGCAGGCGTGTGAGCACATGAAAGAGCAGGGGAGGGGGAGGGAAAAGCAGACTCCCTGCTGAGCAGGGAGCACGATGCAGGGCTCGATCCCAGGACCCTGGGATCATGACCTGAGCCGAAGGTAGATGTTTAACGACTAAGCCACCCAGGTGCCCCCAGACCTAATTTCTTTCTGGCCCAGACCTGAGTGCAGTTCTAAAATGTTGTCCCTGTCACCCATCCTTGGGAAAACGAAGGCTAGCTGCTAGGCGAATAGAAAAAGATGCCTGAGAGGGGAGGGGGGTGGGGGGATGGGTTAGCCTGGTGATGGGTGTTGAGGGGGGCATGTTCTGCGTGGAGCACTGGGTGTTATGCACAAACAATGAATCATGGAACACTGCATCAAAAACTAATGATGTAATGTATGGTGGTTAACATAACAATAAAAAAATATTTAAAACAAAAAAAGAAAAAGATGCCTGGCCCCACCCTGGGTCCCGTAACCCCAACTCACTGCCTCGGCAGGCCTGTGTGATGATGACCTTGGGCTTGTCTCTGAGACTCTGGCAGTTACGGTTGTTGAAAATCTGGAAGATGGTGTCATCGGGAAGAATGTCCGGCTTTTCATCTCTGTGCTTCGTGCCACAGATCCCATCCAGGGTGCCATGGGACATGAACACCAGGAACGTGCTGTCGGAGAATCGGTGCTCTTGGCGGGTGGCAAAGTTCTTCAGCTCCGTTTTCATTTCCTGAAAGAATCTCCAGAGTCACTACCTAGGAGCTCTCCATCTACAGTTTGTACTCAGATAGTAGGTGGAGCAGGCTTTAAGGAATCAGACGGTTTGGACAGAATGGAATTGTGAGAGAAATTTCATTCTAACATAAAACCAGAAAATTAGATATATAGAATGTAAAGGTTAGCAGGGTTTTGTTTTGCTTTTAAGATTTATTTATTTGTTTGAGAGAGAGAAAGAGAGAGAGAGTTGTGGGAGGGGCAGAGAGAGAGGGAGAATCTCAAGCAGGCTCCATGCTGAGCACAGAGCCCGACACAGGGCTCAGTCTCAGGATGCTGAGATCATGACCTGAGCCGAAACCAAGACTAGGATGCTCAAACCAGGCACCCCTGGTGGGTTTTTCATACAGCGTGTAGCCCAGTGGTTTTCAGCAGAACCTTAGGCTGGGGGAGGTGCTGGGAGGTGAAGTATGAGGAGGGGCACGTGAGGTGGCAGGTCTCCCACCGGAAAGCTTTCTTTTCATCTGTATTACATGTTGGGGTTCCCCTAAGTTTTTATTAAAAAAGAGTGAGACAGAGAGTAAGGGACTGTTTCCTATTGACATAAAGTAGAGACACTTAACAAATTTCTTCTGAGGTTTCAAATGGTTTGTCCAAAGTCACCCAAGATATTTTTTTGGCAGAGACAGGATCACAACTTTGTGTGTATGTGTGTGCTCACAATTTTTTTTTTTTTTTTTGACTGCATACTTGGCTTTACATTTAGACACATAATATTGAAATTATAAAGGCCTCAGAGTTGTGTCTCACATAGACTATCAAGTCATCGGTGCCTCCCAAACTGAGAGCATTAGAAAGATCCAACATTTTTAGTGAAATACTACCCTATAAATCTTTGCTATAAAAATGTGCATTGGAAGAGGCTGAAACCCAGGGATGCTTATTCTGGAGAAAGAGAATTCCTGTAACACGCACTGTGTTCTTCCAGCTGCAAAGGAAGAAGTCCAGGAAGGAAGCTTATCCCACTATCCTGGGCCATTACCAGAGCTGTGAGATTTTCCTTTATAACCACCGAATATCCAAGGTTTTCAAGCAGGCCTTGCATCCCTGAAATGTCATTTTCAGAGCCTTCTCGCTCAGAAAGATAGTCAAATTCTTTGTTGCAAATGATGAGGGCCAGGCGTGTTCGGCCCTCCTTCTCCATCACTGGATATATCTGCAAATAACAGACACAGGGTGAGTTACATGTGGCCTCCCCACTTTTGCCTGCAAAGTCCACACCAAACAGACTGGATGGCTGGAGGACTTGCGGATGGAGATAGGTACTCATGCAGAAAGACACAGGACTCCAGACTGAAAGCATGTACAGTAGCTGAGCATGCACTCCGGGAACCTGGCTTTGGTTCGCTGGTGGGGAGGAGTTTCAAGTATGTTGGAGGACGGGCTGAAACAGACAGGAAATCTGATGGAAGGGCCACTTAATTAGGTGACATGATTAAATAACATCCTATGCCTTTTGGGCTGATCCAAAGGCATCTGTATCAAGAACTAAAACTCCCAGTGGGTTCCCAGTATGCAGTTTGAGTGGACAGTCTTGTGTGTTCCTACTCCAAAGGGTGTTACCTCATGTAGTCTTACAGTCTTCAGTCCTTGAGAATGCTTACAGGGACAAAGCTTCAGCACGTCCACTTGGGAAGCCTGGATTTCCTGAATAACTATGAGAGAAAAAAAATAACTCTTTAGGGAGTAGCACCCCCTGCCTTGCAGTCACGGAGATCTTTTCACTGGGCTCTCATTCTTTGGAAACGCTTACTGTCATCCCTTCAAAAAGCTTCATATAACAAGAAAACCATTTTGTATAAAAAATGACAAAAACAAAAATCTTGAGTAGTCCCTCTTTCTTTTTGCTTCTTGCTGACCCTACCGCCAGTTTCTGTTTCTTTCAGTGATCATGATATGGGCTAATCTTTCATACCCAGCACATTAGACTCACACAAGCACAGTACCCAAGATCTGGAAGGAGGCCTCATGATCATCTGGCCTGGTCAAGTCATTATTCAGATATCTGAACTCCACTCACAGTATCCCTACTGTGTTGTTATTACCACTAGTGAAATGTCTCCACTAACAGGGAACTTGCAGTGTTCTAAAGCACTCTGAACAGTTCTGAGGATCCCAAAGCGTGAACCTTGTAAGCATTGGTATGTATTTCCTGCACTGGGACTATCCAGAAAAATGTCTAATTCCTTTCCCGCTGAAAGCTCATGAATATTTCTATGGCTTCAAAATATCTTACCTTGTGTTTCGATTATTTTATGTAAATGCCCCCAGAAAAACAATGATTCTATTTTATCTTAATTGTGTTTACTGTATGGTAAGCTTAATTAGGACAGGGAAGGTGTGTTTAATTTTTGTATTTCCAGCATCTAGAATGATAGTCTGGGACAGATTAAAAGTTTATAACTGCTTGTTAATGAACCATTACCTTCAGATACTTGAAAATAGCCACCAGGTATCCGCCACCTTCTCCTGCCTTTTGTTTTTCCAGAGGGAAACCAGCCTTCTGTTCCTTCCAGTATTTTTGTGGAAGAATGATTTCATCTTTTGAACCAAGCCATCTGTGAATTTGCCTGTATCTCTCCCCATCTACTGTCCTCCCCAATAAAAGGAAGGCATATACTTCCTCCTGTCTTAAGTGACTCTCTTTGTACCCGGAATTCCGATTCCTCTCACCCGCAAGATCTTGACTCAGGCGTTCATCAGCCCCGCCCCATCCGTCTCCCTCCTCCCCAGGCTGTGTCCGCCCCATGGCATGTCACGTGCCTTCACACCCCTCTGTCTCACAAACACCTCCCCTCCAGCTGTTGTCCCGAGTCCATGTCTCAGCACAACTCCTTAAAGGTGGTGTCCTGCTGCACTGTTTCCAGTTTTTCAACTCTCATTTCGTTCTTGTGTGCAACACGCCCTGGCTGTCACTCTCACCCTCAAATTCTTGTGATCAAAGTTCCCACTGACCATTTATTGCTTTTTCAGCATTTACTCTGGTGGAACACATCTTCTTCCTTCCTTGAACAGTGTTCTCCAGGATGCTGTGATGCTGCGTGTTATGGCCGTTCTTCCTCAAGCTGCTGGCTTTCGCTCTTCTGCCACACGTCTAAAAGTTGGGTCTTTCTACATTAGACCGTCTGTTATCCTCTGTGAGTCACCTCTGCCCAGGCGGCCTCTTCAGGCACATCATCCTACCTACTGTCTACATGCTCCTGAATCCCCAGAGCTATTCCTAGGCCTGGTTCTTCTGTGAACAGCTGGGTTGAATACACCTGTGTATTCAATATCTACCCTGGGCTGTACTACACACATCAAAGTGCACAGGTACAGGGAAGGACTCCTAATATTTGTCCATGCCTAGAGATCTGTTTCTCCTGAGTTTTCCCTCAACTACAAGTTTTCTTCTACCTCAGTTAGTCATAAACTTCACCTAGTTGACAGCCAAAACCAAGATTCATCCTGATTCCTCTTCTTCCTGCATTAGCCCAAAGCCTATCCATCCATGGTTTTTGTTGACTCTACCTCCAAAAGAGATCAGATGTCACCACTTGTCATCCTCTCTGTTAGTACAACCCCAGCCTAAAAGCTATTATTTTTTAACTGAAATATTTGAATACCTTTGGCCTTTCTGATGCTATGCTTCTTTATCATTCCTCCATTTAAATACTTCTAAAGCCTTTCTATTACAAGTAAAATCCTTCTTTCTCACTTTCAAAAAGGCCCAGAGTCATGTGATAGCTTCAGCCTAAGTCCATAACGGCTTTTCCTACCACGTACCCTAATTTGCTCCTCTCCCATCAGATTGGCTTTTTGACATGACACGTCCACATGTGCTCAGGGCCCTTGGACTTGCTTCCTTTCCATGGGATGCTTTTGCTGTAGATTGTGGCACAAACCCCTCTCTATAGTTCAAGTATGTACCAAAATATCACCCCAAATGAGTTCTCATAATTGTTCACCCTGGCCCACATGCCTCGCCTCTTTTCTCTTGTCCATTTCCTGACTTGTACTATTTTTTTTTCATGTTTACTGTCCATGCATCTTCACTACACTGTCAACTCCATGAAAGCAGGACCTTGATTTATCTTGCTTACTGCTATAAACAGTGATTAGAAGACTAGACAGTAGTTTTCAGTTAATATGTGTGTGTGTGTATATATACAGCAAATAAAAATTAAGAAGTTTTTATGCCTTTGTAAACTTGTCCAGAACATCTGAAAATATGGTACTCACAACACAATACAACACTACCCCTTTCTAGGCACTGAGATTCTTTGATGTGGTTTAATAACTCATCAGTTTCTTTAGTGATCAGACAGTATGTGTAACTAGTCCTGTTGTGTGTTTCTGAACGTGCTTTTCTTAACCACATCCTTGCTCTGTTTATGCAGTTGTTACTTGCTTATCTGTTTGATGTTTTATGAATCTTTTAAAGTTGTTATTAATATCATTGAAAACTATGAGTCCCAGAAAGGTTGGGTTATTTACACCAGAGAACATGGTTAGTCAGTGGCAGTATTGGGCTCAGTGTAGAGATTGCTTGCATTTCAGTCCAGTTCTCTTTCCACTACAGTGTACGGACTCTCCATCTGCCTTAGCTCACAGAATGTCACCAAGCATCCATGACGCTGCCTGTCATAGGCAGAAGCCATGCGTGCAGCCTCCAACACTCTCCCTAATTTCATGACCTTCACTTTCACTTCCAGATTCTTAGAAGATGGAAGAGCGGGGGGTTAAATGCTGACCTTCCTTTGACACGGGTAGGCACAGAAGGAAGAAATAACCTGAATTTTCTGAACCCATCTCTGGTCTCTCCACTGTAACTTAGGGCCCCTATCACTTAGGGCCTTACCCTGAGTGAGGTCTGAGGGTTTGCGTGAGCCACTGGGTTTGGTGGCATCTGCTAGAGGAATAGCCAGTGCCTGGGATGACTCAGCATTTTCTTCCTCTCCACTTCCTTCAGGATTATTTCAGATTCTGAGGTGGAATGAACAAAAAGTTAAGGATCAATGTTCTACGCTGAAGATTATTTCCAGAGATGGAAACTGACTAAAACCACAGTTTCCTAGGTCTTAACTGCAGTGCCTTCTGACAGCCCTAGTGGTCTGAGAGTGTTCATTTGTGATGTGAGATTTGAACACACTTACCTGTCAGAGAAGAAGATGACTTGCTGCTCTCAGATTCATCATCTTCATTTTCAGCATGAGATTCTGAAAGAATAGGAAATGAAGATTTGTTAGCAGAACTAGGTTTCTAGAACCTACACACTTGAAACTCTTTCCCTTGTACTCACAAGAAAGTGATGATGTTCGGCATGGGGTTACCCTATGAAGCATGGACATTTGGCTCATTTTCTAAGCTTCAGATTTGTCTTACAGGACTGTGACTTTGTGCCGTGTGAAGGAGGAGGCAGAGTTTCCATGAAACAATGAAGAGCTCCTTATGTTCCTGCTTATATAATTCAAGGAATAATCAAATTCTTTAATCAAGGCTTTTCTGCAATAGCATTTTTCATTCTGAGGAAAGAATGTACACAGCTCTATAATGTTTGGTAGTCTTTCAGCAGCCACAAAATGATCCCAGAAGGATGTTCCAAGTATTGGGAATACACTCATGTATATATTGTACTGTAGAGTAGGGGTCAGGAGACTCTGGCCTATAGGCCAGGGTCAGTTCAACACCAGTTTTTTGGTCAATAAAGCTTTATTGGGACACATCCACAGTCATTGTATGCTTATTATCTATTGCTAATTTTATGCCACAGCATCAGATTTGAGTCACTGTGACAGAAAGTTTGGTCCAAAAAACTTAAAACATTGACTCTCTTGACCCTTCAAAGAGAGAGTGTGCCAACCCATGCTTCAGAGAGAAAGACACACTTATGTTCCACTGATGTCCCTCAGATTCCCTAGGTACTCCTTTAACAAAGACATTGTGGGTTCTCAGAGATTTATCCCTTGAGCCAAGCCACAGCTAAGCAGGAGACAGTGGATTGTTTTGTTTTGTTTTGTTTTGTTTTCTATTGAACATTTTACATGTGGGAATAACTCTGGAGTCCACAGAGTATGGCCAGAGTAGCACAGATTAGCTAAAGACGGTCCCTGAATTTACTAGAGCTCCAGCACCATTTATGCAATTCACAAGTATTTACTGAGCACCTATTATGTGTCAGCTGCCATTTCCATACTTGGGGCTCTCCTCATAAACAAAACAGACATAGCTCCATTCATCATGGAGTTTACATTTTAGCAGAGGGAGATATAGTACAGCAAATAAGAAATGTTAAGGGATGATGGAAGGTGATAGTTGCTGAGGGAAAAGCAAGACATGTAGGAGTATAAAGTGGTTTTGGATGCTGCCACATGGACTAGGGGGGCCCGGGGCCTTTTGCCATCTTATATAAGTTCATCTGGCAAAGAAATTATTAAAGATGTGGATAGTTTGTTCTCCCCTTGCAAATAGAAATAAGAAGACAGAGATTGCATAAGAGAGCAGGTAAACAATAAGTTAGTAGTCCTCTGGCCCAAGATACTCACTTAAACTCAGCTGGCTCCTGGAATTGATGAAATGGTCCATAAATACTTTTCCTACCATTTGAGTTTTCTCGGTGAAATCGCCAACCAGGTTTTCAGTCTTACTCACGATGACATTCACTTCTTTCCCTATTGTTTGTAACTCTTGCTTATCTAACACCTTCTTTTCCTTCAAGTCCTCCAAGAAGCCACCAAACATGGTGCTGGCAATCATCTTTATCTCATTGACTGGATCTTGTGGCGATCTCTTCTCTGTGAGAACAATAGGATTTTAGGAACCGACAGGACTTTAGATCTCTGATTCTAGGCCCATGGTTCTCAAATTTAACAAGGGAGAGTATCTGAGAGCTTGGTAAGCAGAGCTTCCTGAACCCCATTCCCAGAAATCTGATTTAATAGGTTGGGGTGGAGTGCATGAGTCTTTAGTTCTACCAATGTCTCAGGTGATATCAAAACTACTGTTCTGAGGACCACACGCAGAGTACCACCAATCTTCCCCAATCCTATGCTTTTTTACTGGTGGAGAAAATGAGCCTTGGGGAAGGAAGCAACTTCATTATGTAACTTAGTGATGGCTGCCTCATTTCAGCTTGGTATCATCTGTGATCCCTTTGCTTCCTGTCACTTTTATCAATAAGTCTTTTAAGAACACACTGTAGTTAATATGTATAGAAGTAAAGCATGAAAGTATTACCACCTATGGAAGAATGCTTATTTGTTTCCCTGGCCAGGGCTGGCAGGGTGGGTCTGTATTCTGAGAGTGAGAGCACACATTGTGGCTGGCTTGCTCACTGCTGGAAACGAAAGGTCACACAGAGAGCAGAAATATGGAGGAAATGAAATACACTCTCTTCAACTGGATAGCCCCTCACCCTGAAGAGAACACTTAAGAAATGTTTAGAACACTCAGTATGAGTTCAAGGAAAAGACTAAAATCACAGGAAAGTTCTGAGAATGTAGGTCCAGATAGTTTACACTTCTTTTTTTTTTTTTCTCCAAAAAGCCTTAGCTTCTCAGCCAAAATACTTTGTCTGCTCCACACTTGCTTACTGTGCCCCAAGCTCCCATCCCTCACATTCCCAGAGTAAAACAGTCTTGTCTCATGAGAGCCCCTTTCAGGGCTCTACCTCCTGCCCCGCACTCCTTCCTCCTGAGCTGTAACTCCCCCAGAACATGGACCTAAACAACAGAAAACCGGAGGCACTCACCAGCCATTGCTGCTCTGGCTCTCTGGGCAGGAAATGTAGTGAAAATGAAAGCAGCCTTCTCCCTTTGCTCTTAGTGGACTGGTGTGCTGGTGTTGCCTAAAATGGGAAACTACAGCCTTTCAAATTCTCTTGTCCATGCAGGGATAGAATTTGACTCTTCTTCTGATATGTATCTTACTTCCTTTGGAAAACAGGAAGCAAACCTGTCTTTTCTCTTTACTCTCACACACCGTTTCTATGTTCTGTTTTGCAGTCTATTTTGACACAGTTAAGAAGTCAAACTGACCCTCATTCATCTCTGTGCCACCCCTTAGCCACTAAATGGCAGAGAGGCCTCACCACAGATGCCCACTCAGCCCCTAAAGTGAGGTGTGAGTTTGCAAGACTTAAGGGGAGCAGGAAACTGACTGGAGCCCGACAAACAGTGCTAATCCTGCCACTGTTTTTAAAAACCCAGGTAAGTGATCTCTTTTCTTCTCTTTCCTGATCTGTGTACTTGTCAGTCCTGGGAAAATGTGCATATTTTGGTTTATTGACTCTTTTACTCAAGATGAGTTTTTTAAACAATAGATGTGCTATCAACATTAAATAATTTAATTTTTATGAAATGGAGTAAGATCATCTGCCTTCTTTAATCTCATACCACAAACTAACCACAATTATATGCTTAGCTTACATCAGTGAGAATTTTTGTCCTGTGCTTTTAAAAAGCACTCAGTGTAGTACTGATGTTATTGATGGCCCCCGACAGGAGTCTCTTTGTATCCTTTGGTCTGACTATAAACTCACCTCTGACTTGGTTTTGCCATTGTGATACAGTAAATGGACCCTGTGCAGCTCTTTGCCAGGTCAGGAGACATGTGGTTCATTTCTCAATCTTGGACACCTGACAGTCCATGTGAACAAGCCTGGGCTAGATTGCTAGAGAATCAGAGAAATCACATGGAGATGCCTACCCTGTGTGCAAGTGATCTCAGACACATGGATAACCCCAGAGACAAGAAGAACCACAGGGCTGACTGATCACCTTGTGAACAATAGTAAAGGCTCATCGTTTTAAGTCACTGTGTTTTAGGGCAGTTTCTCACCAATAGAGAAACACATACTTACCGATAACTTTTTTCCCATATCATCAATAATTTGCTTTTTATAATTTCCCAATGTATGACAGACATTTGTAAGAATCAATACCTTAGGAACTATCTCATTTTTTTGATGACCATATGGTATTAACAGTGTTGATAGATTTTAAGTTTTAAATGTTGTATCAAAGTAATGTATGCAGCAGGCATCTAATTCAGTTGTACAGAAAAGTGTGTAATAAAAACCATATTCTCCAGTACAACTCTCCCATCTTCAGTCCCACATTCTACATATAATTTCCCTAAATTATTCATTTTTATTTTCTTGTGCTAATTTTCAGATCTCTCAATAACATGCCTATTTTATCCCTCTATTTTTTTTTAAAGATTTTATTTATTTATTTGACACACAGAGAGAGCGAGAGAGAGAGAGCACAAGCAGGGGGAGCGGCAGGCAGAGGGAGAAGCAGGTTTCCTCCATGAGCAGGGAGCCCGATGTGGGGCTCGATCCCAGGACCCTGGGATCATGACCTGAGCTGAAGCAGCGGTTTAACCAACTGAGCCACCCAGGCGCCCCTTATCCCTCTATTTTTTGATATACCAAATACAATGTTCTTGACTACCTCTTAAGAAAAATAAGATGTAGTTCACTTACACTGCCCTACTCCCTATGCTGCCTAATATTTGAAGATATCATGATTTTCAATTCTTTTCTTGATTAATTTTTAAATATTAAATAATATATTTAAACAGTTGCAAAATACACAAATAAGGAAATAACACTGAAAGCAGCAAAGGAAAAAAATCCTTAACCTACAAAGGAAGACAAATAAGGTTGACGGTAGATCTATCCAAAGAAACTCGGCAGGTCAGGAGAAAGTGGCATGATGTATTCAGTGTACTGAATGGGAAAATATGCAGCCAAGAATGCTCTATCCAGCAAGGCTTTCATTCAGAATAGTAGGAGAGATAAAGGGTTTCCCAGACAAACAAAAACTAGGGGCGCCTGGGTGTCTCAGTCGTTAAGCGTCTGCCTTTGGCTCGGGTCGTGATCCCAGGGTCCTGGGATCGAGCCCCACATCAGGCTCCCTCCTCTGCAGGAGGCCTGCTTCTCCCTCTCCCACTCCCCCTGCTTGTGTTACCTCTCTCGCTGTGTCTCTCTCTGTCAAATACATAAATAAAATCTTAAAAAAAAAAACTAAAGGCGTTTTCATGACCATTTAAACAGCCCTACAAGGAATATTAAAGGGGACTCATTTAGTGAGAAAGACCAAAAGCAACAAAGACTAGAAAGAATCAGAGAAAATCTCCAGAAACACCAAATTTATGGGTAATACAATGGCACTAAATTCATATCTATCAGTAATCACTCTGAATGGGGATGCCTGGGTGGTTCAGTAGGCTAAGTGTCTGACTCTTGGTTTTGGCTCAGGTCATGATCACGGGGTCACGGGATCGAGCCCTTTGTTGAGCTCTGTGATCAGCATGGAGTCTGCTTGAGATTTTCCCTCTCCCCCTACCCCTCCCACCCTCAAATAAATAATTAAATCTTAAGAAATAATCACTCTGAATGTAAATGGACTAAATGCTCCAATGGAAAGACATTGGGTATCCGAATGGATAAAAAAAAAAAAAAGAAAAACAACACCCATCTATATGCTGCATATAAGAGACTCATTGCAGATTGAAAGTGAGGGGGTGGAGAACCATCTGTCATGGTAATGGATATCAAAAGAAAGCTAAAGTAGCCATATGTATAACAGACAAGCTAGATTTTATTTTTTTTAAAGATTTTATTTATTTATTCATGAGAGACAGAGAGAGAGAGAGAG